TATAATGGGTTTAAATAATCATTTTAAAGATATTTAAGCCTTCTTAGTTTTAATTTCTAATAAGGCAAACACTGGTAATAATACTCCATATAAAAATCTCTAGGGTTCTGAGACCAAATATTAGAGACCTGCTGCCAAGCCAGCACTAAAGAGTAACGAGAATCCCCAACGTGGCTGACGTGGGTTCTCATTACTCTCAGCTTGTGTGTGTTTACCAAACTGTTACTCAGGGCTGGCAAATCTCCTGCCTGTATGAAGGGAAGACTATTATTTAAACATTTACTTATCGTCACTATACCCTTCATTTACCACATGGCTGAACTATCTACAAATATTAGTATGTAGTGAATATAAAATTCATCAAAATCTTTACCAGAATAAGCAATAAGATGAAGATAGTCCAAAAATGGCACTTTATGATACAATCTGACCAGGTGGGTCTGAAGGTCAATAATCATTTTCTAAAAACATTTGCCTTATTAAAAATTCACTGCTTTGGCTACTCAGACAACTGGTATTCATTACTTCTGTGCTGCTAACTCCAGAGGAAGACTTTAAAATTTTTTCAAGTCAAATCTTGGCTCACAAAAATCTAATCTCTAGCAGAAACAAACTATAACTGATGGATAAAACTGATTTTTAATGCAAGCCAAGATGTGGCAATAAAGTAGAGAGGGAAGAAGAGCAGACCCTAAGGTCCTAACCGACAGGGCTAGCCTAGAAGGACAGTTTTCCAGGGTCGAGACTAAGAGAGGACAGGGACTAGGCTCGGGAAGAGCAGCAACGCTGAAACTTGTACAGTTTTATTAAAAACAGAAGCAAACCAGACCATAAGTATATTTTCATTTTTACAAAAGCAAAGCTTTTCTTTTAAAATACTATTCGCTTTCACTAAGGCCAGCAAAGAACCTTAATAATTCTTGAGACCTTAACTGTCCTAAAGGCAAATCTGAATTGATGTTTACTTGTGAGTATAAATTGGAATGACATTTGGGGAGGGACACAATGAAAATATTTAGCAGAGGCCTACCATGGACCCTCACTGACTAAGCAATTCCAGTCTTAGGAACTGAGAAAATGGTCAGTGAAACAGTTATAAAGGAGATTTCTTACAGTATTGTTCATAATACCAAAAACTGAAAACTGGAAAGAGCCTGAACATACAGCTACATGGTCAAGTGAGCCTGTTCTTAACCACGTGATGGAATATCACATAAGACAGAACGTTAAAGTGATACAAGTTATATAATCAGTAGCTCCTGTATATTTCTGAAGGAAAGAAATTAGGTAGAAAAATAAACATTTTATTTTTGTTTAAAACATGCATGTATATACATGTCTGGAAGAGTTAAAGTAATATAAGTATATATATGCACATATATATTAATATACAATGTTAATACAGTTTTATACATTCTATAAACTGTACATATAAATTAGTATTTATAGCATTTATCTTTGATTTTGAGCTTTATTTACTTTTTTGAAGGGTACAACACTTGCTTTTCTATAGAAAAAGAGTCTTACTTCTGTAATAATCATTAAAGTATTGACTTGAGGTAATCATGCAATGTTAGAATTTTTGAATCCTTACACTGTGGAAGGCTGCATATACTCCAGAGGAAAGTGGTGCAGGAAAGGGATGGAGAGAAAAGAAGGCAGTGGGCCACCATTATTAGTTATTTCTTTATCCTGTGTATTTGCTGTCCAGTTTTAAGATAATCTGTTTAGCAACCTGGAAAGGCATTTTCAAGAGAACCTGCAAGTTCCCAGTGAATATCAACAGGACTTCAGTCGGCTTTCAGAGATTAATATTTCTGTGGAAGAAGCAGGTGGCTTAAAGAAACCAATGTCTCTCCACTGCCTTTCCAGCTACAGCTAGCGTCTCTCTAGCCTTGTTTGCGCTAATCAAGCTTTATCTAGGCAAACTCAAACTGGCATATTGACTCCAAGCACATGGTCATATGAGTCCTCTGGCTGATGCCTGCTGCCATGTGTCGAAATCATTTTATGAAATGCATGCTTGAAGAAGGGTCTTACAGCAGCATGAGTCTGATGCACAGGACTAAGAAATATAGTGTCACAGAGACCACTCTAACCTGAATCTAATTCTGAATTAGATTCTAAACCTGAATCTGGTGTCATCACTGCCACCAAAAACTGGCAAAAAAAATGACAAAGAAAAAATTCTATTAATTTTTAATGAGAAATTTCTATCATGCACTTGAGCCTCGTCTACCAATAACACATTTTAGGTGCCTTGCTAGACAGTGAATCTGGGAATAATTACAAACACCATGCACACTGTTTACAATAGAATCGTATTTCTTTTCTTTCTTTTCCCCTCCCGCTTTTTCTTTTTTTCATGAAAATAGAATGCTGTTGAATGGTACCCAAATGCCTGTTGTATACCATGCCAACACAGCAGCTCAGCCAAAAACGTGAATAGAATGGTTTGCCAAGTAAAAGAAAACATAACAAATTGGTAATGGTTTCTATCTTGACAGAAACTGAAAATGATCCCTCAATGTGTGGCCACTCATGTGGACACATAAAAATGTCTTAGAAGCAATCATTTTACCTCAGATAACAGACCCTGACAGAGCCATACAGCATACTGGCTGACTTTCAAGTCTCAAAAAATCGGCAACCATGACCTACAAAACAGTCTGGGACTTGTGTAACGTATGCATAACAAACATGCATATGCTATGTGCTCACAAAATTTGCTTTATCTCATTTTGAATAAAAGACCATTTTCCCGGGTAGAATTCACACTTATGAGAGAGACTAAACCATCAGTGACCCAGTGAAGCTGAGCTGTCTGCTCTGTGAACAGAGGCGCTGCTGTTCCCATAAAGCTACAAAATTCCATGGTCTGCAGCACAATGCAAAGGCCTTATGTAAGAACACTGTGCCTCCTAGAAAGTTCCACCTAGTGCCTTCATCCCTAGAGATATTCTTCCTAAGATGCTACGTTAAGCAAATACCAAAAATATCCTGGAGGTACCTGGCATATAGATTTGATCTTCTGTTTAGAAAACAACAACTGGAAGGAAAAACAAATCCCCACGACCAGCTGGTGAGCACTCTAACTCCCTGCACCACAGACGGAGAACCAGCCAACATCACAGACCACTGACCGCTACCCCCACCCCCATTTACGGGAATTTTTTGATTTAGCTTTCTTTCTAATGAGAAGATTAGATGGAACATTGATTATATGGTCAAATCCTTTAAAAAATAGGAAGTGACTCTTTTGAAAACACATAATTGGTATCTGAAGATAAAGAGGAATTCAGGACTATTAAATACCGAACCAAGTGGCTAGGAAGAATCTTAGGAAGTTAACTGATCTTGCCAAGTAGAAGGTAAATCTGACTCCTGTGGGTTATGAGTTTTGAATGAAACCCCTGGGGTTTGAATTTGATGGTGACTTTCCTGTTCAATAAAAAGTCCTTAGATGGCTGCTACAAAGGTTAAGAAAATGGAATGGGTATCAAGCTGCTCTTACAAAATACCCATCTTGATGACTTAAGTGTAAATGAATCAGAAACACATGGGTCATATTTCCTTAAAAAACATACAGATTCAAAAATAAGGGGAACACAACTTGGCAAAATGTGTGTGTATGTGTATGTGTGCATGTCAGCTGACCCTCAAATAAATACTTGAAAGGTATTTTGAGACATTCAAAATGAAACGAATCCCGTTGAGTTACATAAAGACAGTATGTTCGTCTATAAGCGTGCACTTGTCTCCATGGGTCGTCAACACTCGTGGAGCCTTTGGCACAGAGCTACAGGAGTAGCCAGCTTCTGCCTTCCAGCAACTTTGAATTTGTGTATAAGCACTATATAAGTACTAAAACTGGTTACAAGAGATCAGATCAAGGATTTTATAAGATTGGCATCATAGCCCAGATCCTTCGGAAACTATAAGTTAATGGAGAAGTATATAGGTATTTTTCAGGGTCCGGGAGTAGGTAGGCTTCATTCCATTCAAGCCATTTTCAAGTAGCCCTATTGGCTAAAGTTACATTTCAGTTGCAAAGTCTTACTTGTTTAAATGTTTTTTAAATAAGTGTTTTTATGGCTTTTTAAATGTGTGTCCAGCCCTCTTCCTCCACCCACTAGATTTGTGAGTGCTCCACAAATCTTGCTGACTGCTTTCCTGAGGATGGGAGTGTTGAACAGTTTTGAAACAGGGGAGATACTGTTGGCAGGGAGCATGGGGCCATGATTCTAGGCTGGGGTGATGGCACACGTGACAGTTCAGAGGCTCCAGAGGGTGAGTCATGTGTGTGTGGGGGTGCTATGTGGTTGGCCCGTTTCAGATATTCCTGAGCCAGAGTCTTGTGGGAGGTGGAGGCAGGAAGGTGTGGGGAGGCCTAATATACTGCATGTGAAGTCAGCTTGAGGAGAGGGCTGTGATAAGGGAAAACACAGCTTGACTGCTTTTGGTCTTGGCTTATACCTTCTTCCTCAGAATAAGACCAAGTTCTAGGCACATGGCACATGCATGTCTTTTCTTTAAAAGTTGAAAAGTATCTAAACATAAAATTAATCATGTATGTGTTCCTAGGATCCTGTAGATAAACTTGAACAGGAAGTTGGTAGGGAATATATTACTAAAATAGATGACTGAATTCTAAAATATTTGTGGGAAAGTATAAAAATATATTGATTTACTATCTTTTATGTTTGTTTCCTGGCTGTCTAACATAAATCTTCTCTCTCTCTCTTTTTATAATTTTAAAAATTATGTAGGGCATCGAATCTTTCTTACACATTTTTTTTCCTGGCTCACACAATGCTGGCATTAAGTTGAATGATTGGGGAGTTCATTTATTTTGCTTTGTAACTGAAATGAAGTAGAAGGATGAAGAGGCGCTACAGTGCTGAGAGAAAGTTTGAAAAGGATGCTGTAGTGGAAATATCTCAGGGTCTTTACTTTGAGTCACTTACTCGTGGTCAATACAAAGAAATCCAAGTCCTTACCATCCTTCATCATCTTCCACTTCTGCTTCAGGAACATTGTTTTCAGGCGTTTCAGTAATCGCTTGAGTGAGCTTAGATTTAAACTGGCTCAGCAGTGCAAGGGTCTGAAATGACAATGAGATGCCAAACTGTTGATAAAGCTCATCTGAAGAGAGACATTTGATAGAAAAAAATTATCTTACTTGGACATAAGACACAGGTAATAAAACTGGTTTCAGGCTACAGCAGTGACGTTAGTAAACCCCAACACTGGCATCTTTCCTTAGAGACATTTCAGTACTTTCTACTCTAAGACTTAAATGTGCTCACACAGCAGACATTCTCACTCTGTAAAATACATGCTCACTGGCAAGTTTTTAGAGCTTTCCCAACAGAAGAGCAAGTCACCAGCATAAGCTGGTCAAACACAAGATGTGAAAACATCCACATTGGGTGGGGAGAAAGATGAACCTAATAACTGGTGGACTATGGCGAAAGTGATACACCATTTTAAGAAAACTCTTGACATGTCTTAGAAACTGATGTGAGCATTGCCTCTAACGCAGCAACTCCAGATTGGGAACACACTTTAAAAAATAATCTGAGGTAAGAAAATGTGCAGTAATATTCATCTACACAGAATATAAACCATACTTAGAGAATCTCAATAGGCATTTTTTTTTAAAAGAGCATGACTTTGAATTCTAAGTTTTCTCTTAGCCTTTGTGGGCAAGAAGTAACAAAAGGCTACACCTTTGTAATCACATCTCCTTCTGGTTACAGTTGACGGTCTTCTGACATGTGAACAGAAAACATGGGCTAGGGATGACAGTTTTCTGCTCTAGGTCTTAATTCTTCCTTGTGAGGAGGAGGGTTGGAGCACAACCTACCTGAAAAATCAAGGGCCTAATGAGAAGTTTGGTATTTTAGTTCAATTCTAAATTCCTCATTCTTCAAGGAATGTGGGGATGCTAGTCTAACAGGTGAGTGACAGGACCAGGAGGCAGGAGAGGTACTTAGCTAAGCTCCATAATGAATCATATATATCATTACCATGGTTGCTTCATGAGAGAAATTGGGTAAAATGTATACATTTCAAAAAAAGTCAACCACTTCATCACTCAGAACAGTCAATGTTAACAACATCATTCAGGACTGTGTACATACGTGCTTGCTTATGTTTTATACATGAATATCTCTGCATAAGTATCTCCATATCTAATTAATCTGAATCTTACAAGTAAGCAATATGAATTTTAAAAGGTGATCTCTTGTACAATTGGAAATATATACATAATTTTAAAGCTTATTTTTAATTTTACTTATGTGTGCATCCGTGTACTCACACAGTCTATGTCATTTGTGTGTGGGTACCCACAGAAGCCAAAGACACTGGGTCTCCTTGAAGCTGGCATCACAGGCAGCTGTGAGCCTGTTGACAGACGTTTGTGTTCCACCCAGTCCCGCAGCCATTCAGTCCCAAAGAAACACACAGAGGTTTACATTAAATATCAACTGGTTGGCCTATTAGCTTGGGCTTCTTATTAACTCTTATATCTTATATTAACCCATAATTTTTGTCTGTGTTAGCCACATGGCTTGCTTTATCAGTGAGGCATTCTCATCTTGTTTCTTCTGTGTCTGGGTGACAATTGCAGACTGAACCTTTATTTTCCTATTCTGGTCACCCTGCCTATACTTCCTGCCTGGCTACTGGCCAATCAGTGTTTTATTAAACCAATACAAGTGACAAATCTTTACAGGGTACAAGGCCACTGTCTCACAGCACGAGCCACTCAACATGGGCTCTGAACTCGGGCCCTCTTCAAGAGCAGTATGTACTCTTAACAGGCTGGGCCATCTCTCCAGTCTGGAAATGTATGTTTTGAGGAAATAAAGAACAATAAAAACAAGGAACAAGAATTTCTTAGTGGGATGAAAATTTAAAATTTCCTAGAAACTTATTCTAGATGTGCATCTTTCCCCCTGAGTCAGAGTGGAAAAGCAGTTCATTTTTAGGGCCAATTATCATGCCACTGACACTTGCTTAAAACCATTAAAAACAAACAAAAATCTTCTTGCTCATTCTGAGCTTCTCTTTCATTTAAGATCATCAGATTTTGTTTAGGTACATCCTAAAGTAAAAGACACAGGTGAGAAGATATGACATTACATTTCTAGGGCACACTGTTGATGACAGCACCCACAATGGCGGCAGTTCTGGCTGGCATTTGCTGGGGAATGACTCTATCTATAACCAAGAGTCTTCTAGTTGGTCGCTGTGCTCCCAGCCTACTCTTCACTGTTCCGTGACTAAGATTGATGGACCCAGAATACAAATGGCACCATGTTACTTCCTGTATCTATGGTCCCTTATCACACAGAATAAAACTAAAGCCTTAACATGGTTCAAATGAGCAGACTCTTGCTTAATTTCCTATCTCAGTTTTGTCTTCTTCTGGTTGGGCTAGCCATACTTAGCCTCTTTCCTCTTGAACGAGGGTGAAGACTTCTCATACAAAGTCCTCATACATTGGCCCTTCTGCCTCGCCACATACTGCTCCAACTCACCTGGGTATCCTCCTGTAAACTCAGAAGGATGGCTTTCTCAGAGAGCCCTTCCTAGTTCTTTGGCCGTGTGTAGATCCTACTGTCACCTAGGGTCCAACCTTGCAGCAATGCTCACCGCTTTTTATTGGTCTTACTCACTTGATTGGTTCTTTTCCGAGATTGTTCAGAGATGTTTGAGAGCTACATACTTGTTGACCACTAAAAATAGAGATTAAGTCCCCCCCCCCCCACCCTGCATGATTTTCAAGATAGGGTATCTCTGTAGCTTTGGAGCCTGTCCTGGTACTTGCTCTGTAGACCAGGCTGGTCTCGAACTCACAGAGATCCTCCTGTCTTTGCCTCCCAAATGTTGGGATTAAAAATGTGTGCCACCACCGCCCAGCTAAGATTAGGTTCTTAATAGTTCTTTGCTTTAAGGTTGGGGACGGGGTGGGTAACTACTACAAATGTAGCTATTATGCATAAACTTTGTAGCTCCACAAGAATAAGTTAATAATGCACTTTTTCTTAGTCTTATTTGGTGTGCCATTTCTTTTGAAAACTGCATATGTTAGTACTCTCTAGTTAAAATCTCCTACACCAGATTTCTTGTTGAACTTTCTCTATGATTCTTCTCATGTTAACTATAAGGGTCATGATCCTTTCTTAGCAGTAATTAAATGTCATTTATAACACTGTTTCTGATTAGATTAACTTAACCAATAGGCTTCGAGTTTTCATATGCTTTTATTTTGCTTTTTTATTTATATCTCTAAAATGACATATGCTCATAAGTGCAAGGTAAGACCAAAAATCTATTTTAGACTGTCCCCTTATGAGTTTTAAGTTTCGTGTGTCTGAGTATTTGGCCTGCACGTATGTACGTGGACTGTGCGCATGCCTAGTGCAAAGGGGACAGAAGACGGTACCGGAGTACAGACAACTAGAGTTAGGAATGGCTGTGAGCCACCATGTGGGTGCTAGAAATTAAATTCTGCTCCTCTATAATAGACCAAGTGCTCTTAACTACGGCAGCCACTCCAGCTCCAGCCTCATACCTTTCCACCATGAAGGGCAACAGAAAGAATGATTTGCTTTATCAAGTGTCACATACCACCCGGCAAGCTGGCCAGCTTCTTCTAGCTCTTCTCAGTCACTGACTTTATCACATCACTGCTTTAAAATCATTGTGAAAATTTCTTGCAACAATCAGCTAAATGAATGGAAATCAATTTGCAGATCAAATGCTGTAATATTAGGCAGCACGCTACTTCATGTCCAGCATGTGACACACTGGGCTGGAAGACGTCCTCACACTGTTCATGCACAGCCATGGCTGGTCCACGCAGGAGGCACTACTCGCTGCATTTCTGCAACTGTGGGGCTTTAGGAAGCTCTTGCACTTGACATGAGCAGACCAGCTGAAATTTCACAGTTTCAAGGCTTTTTCACATAAATATCTGGGGAGAACTTTAAAACTTGGATCCCCATGAGTGGCCAAGGTCACGGCCTTCTGCCCTGTACATTTTCCTCTTCAGGGCTCTCCTGGACACACAATCATATCAGAGCAAGACTGGAAGAGAATAGAAACAAGCACTGAACTGCACATGGACTTCAGCCCTGAAGTTACCTGATCTTCCCGGGAAGTTCCCTTCTTCGGCTGTTGCTTCCTCAAGGCTTCGTACTTCTGCTTCTCTCGCCTGTACTCTGCAACAGCACCATCCAGGGCAGCCTCTTCCTCTGCAGAACAGGAGCAAGACTCAGTGTGGAGCACAAAGGCCTGGGGGTCCTATACACACTCAGCTCTCCAAATAGTGAGCTCCTATTAGGGCTTGGTGTTTCCCCATTAATTAAAACAAATAAAACAAAACAAAATTACAATCTAACGAGATCCACCAAAATCTATTATTTTTCTCAGCTACAAAGTGATTGGCACTAAATTTGTTAGATTTTGCAGTTTTTTTCTATACCATACCATTTTGGTTTTCTTTTATGTACTCACTTAAGGCTGACTGTAAAATAATTGATTTTACTTTAAAATAATTTAGATCTTTCTAAAATTTAGCAGTACTACTTTATATTGCTTCTTTCCTTATAATATGCATTTCAAATATTGGTTGCTATTTTAATTATTCACCAACTTTGCTCCTTCCACAGTTATAACAAAGGCAAACTTCAGCTTGATGATAAAGAGAAAATAAATGAATAGGTAGCAGGTCAGTTTGCTTCTCAGGCTTACACTGCTGTAGCAGAAGTAGCCTGGCATCTGGGATCTTCTGCTCTGTCATGTTAGACAGTCAGTTACAGTCATATTCTGCCATTTTCCTATGGCAGAATTTTGTAAAATTCTAATGATAATGAATATCCTCAGAACTAGGCAGTGTTCAATATGAAAGACAGTTCCTAGATTTCAGGTACAATCCTTCATTTGTGGTGAGAACTTTTTTTGAAAAATGGGAATACTGATAGATGTGTTGAGCTACCATTGCTATAACTAAGTTAATATTTAGCCATGCTTGTTTTATTGACTCAAACATGCATTCCTTCATGAATGAGCTCTGTTAGCAAGGGTCAGATCTAGGTTTCACTCATAAGGAGTGCTTACAAAGTAGACTTTAAAAATACTGAAATAAAGTAACTCCTACCCTGTAGCACCTGCTGCCTTCAAATGTTAAGATGCTCCTGCTTCAGCCTCTCCAGTGGCTACAATTACAGAGGCTTGCTACCGCGACCATCTTCAGCAAATATATTCTTTAAATTGTGCAACAAGGAAGTCTTATAAATCAAAATCTAAAAGCCAGCAATAGATAAATTTAGGCATACAATAAAGCATGGAAATTCTACAGCTGTGCTGGCTAGACTCAAAACCTCCAAATAATTTAGAGAATAGTCTTAACATCATCTTGGAATCCAGTAACGACTGAAGTTTTAAAGAAGCTACATTGAGGGATACTTTATATACAGTGAAATTCATTCAGGGTACACAATATAACCATGCTGGAATTGTTTGTAATTTGTTTTTCTACTGCAATCAATATTTTATACTGCACAATAACCCTCAGCCTTAAGAAAGTATCTGAGCGTGTGTCTCCCATAGTATCTGAGCATATGTTTCTGAGAATATCTGAGCATATGTCTCTGATAGTAGGCCACTTGCCCTTTTCAGACAACAGTCATTTCTGCCACTATAGTTTGTATTCAATAAGCTTATATAAGTGAAATTATTCTGTAAGCAATCTTTCATGTCTGACTTCTTTCGCTTATCAAAAACATCCACATTGCTGGGTAATCCTTTACATAACTGGATGGTATTCCACAATATGACCATATTCTAATTTATTAATTTTTGCACAAGCCGAGTGTCATCTGCACTGCTTTTGTGTTACTGTCACACTGGTTTGAAAAGAACATGCATCTCCCTCCATCATGACTCCTGGTGAAGCAGGACACTGAGCTGTCCTCTTTCCCAGTAGTGTATAGAAATGTATTTTACACTCTAGTGGAGTGAATGCTTTCTTCTTACAGTTCCAACTGTGACTTTCCTGAGGACAACTGGTAGACTTTATTGATCATTCATACAGCTTCTTTTGAACTGCCTGTTCAAATATTTTGTTCATTTTTTGTCTCAATAATGTATTAACAGTGTAAAAAATATATTCCAGTATAAGGCCTTTGTCAGGTATATCTTCTGCGAATGGCTTCTCTTAGTCTATAGTTTATCTTTTTATTTTTTTGAATATGCTGTCTGAAGAGGAGAAATTACATTTTGATTGTTTTTTAAAAAATACTATATGCAATCTCTCTCTCTCTCTCTCTCTCTCTCTCTCTCCGAATTGTTCACTCACTCCAGGACTGCATACGTTCTTTCTCCAGTGTTTTTTCTTTAAAGTTATACAGTGTAATAGTAAGAAAGTTTTACTCTATTCTGATTGATTTTGATCAACATTTGAGGTACATTATCACTATGGCTTGAGGAGGCCGATCTGTACCTTCTCTCTACGTACTCTCTACTCCTTTCATTACAAAGACAGTTTATTCTGATGGAGGAACACAGGCTACTTTGAGCAGACTCTAGAGCTACTCGGGGTCTGGTTGTGATATGGACTCCTGACTAGGTATGCGTTTAGATACGGAAGTATTCAGTTTCACTTTCTCTGCATTTGCCACATTCTGAAAGTTAACTTTAACGAATCACTTTATCCCTTCCATATTAATCAGACTATATTCTTTATATATTTTCTAGTGATGAAAATACAGGCATGTAGTATAGATACAACTGAACATACTGCTCTGCTAATATCCCAGTATTGTAACACTCTGTCATCCCTCCTAAATGTATGTTCATCATACATAGTTTCACCGAAGTGGTGTATAATGTAACTGGTGGTGTTAATGGTAAGCCTCTGACAAGTGAGTCAGTCACTCATGAATTCTAGGATCTCTTAGATGCATTCTCTTTGGTAATAGTAAGTCAAATTAAAAGGACGGAAATTTATATTGCTAATTGATAGGTTGCAGAATCAATTTTATTGTGAAAAATGTTACAGATATAGTTGGATAAAACTGTGGCACTTCTTATCATTACTTAAATTATTCCAGATTAAACAACAACCATCATTCTCTCTCCTCTCCTCTCCTCTCCTCTCCTCTCCTCTCCTCTCCTCTCCTCTCCTCTCCTCTCCCCTCCTCTCCCCTCTCCATCCCCCCACCTCCCACCCACCCTGCCCAGGGCATTTGAGTGTGGTCTCTAGCATTTTTTTGCACTTATCCCCCCCTTGTAACTACATCCATTCTCAGGAAGGCTCCAGTTCAACAGTTTTCAATGACACACTGAAACTAGAAGGTTTCTAGACTACCACCTCTCCCCCAATCACTAAAGCAACTGGGATTCAACACAGTACTGGACTGTAATCTTATCTTGACTACAGCTTTTGGCTTCCAAAGAGGGAAACTGTAAAAACTAGACTTTTAACTCTACAGTCACAAGTAAAAGCACTTTGACTTTTAATATAATTTACTGGCTTTTGTAATGAGAACTAAGAATGTGAATGCTTGGGACCTTGGGGTTAAATAGGTAAACCACAGGCTATAAGCTAACACAGCTGTAAATGCTCCCCATCCCTTAAGAATGTTCTAGAAGGACCAACAGATTCTTTGGTAGCACAGAAGCTACATTCTTCAGCTATAACTACTTTGGGCTTGACTATCTGAATGCATTCTGGAGGTTCTTAGTGCTTAATTGTGTTTATTTGGTCATTTACTCTAATTTAATTAGTGTGTTTAATAATGATATGCTGAATAATCTCAATAGAAGTAAGAAAATATCCCATTGCTTTCTATTTACAGTAGACTGGTAAGAACTGAGAACACAGATGCATTCCCTGAGTCTGGGGTTAGGGCAAGTCAGGCAGCTGGGCCCTGCAGGGTGTTTGAGGGGTGGCCTGGCTAATCTGCTTATTTCTAGAACAATTTTAGCGGTGACACATGTTGCACTTTGGCTTAGTCTGATTTTCCCCTGTGATAATTTTCTCACACAGCTATAAAATAAAGACAGATGTGCTTAAAGTACTTCTGAAGGGCAACTTGATGCTGTTTTGTTTGTATGCCTGCATTATGCCTGTACCACTGCATGCCTCACACTCATGGAGGCCAGACGAGTACATTGGATTCCCTGGAACTAGTTTTACAGACAGTTTGAGCAGTCATGTGGGTGTGCTAGAACTCGATCATAGGTCCTTTGGAAGAGCAGTCAGGGATCTTAACCACTGAACAATCTCTACAGAAAAGGATTAGCTTGATGTAGGATTCCCCTGGCTTCCTCCTACATTAGCTGTTTTGACTTACCTCCAAGTAATTAAAATACAATATAATATTAAATGTTATTTCTGAGATATACTGATGGGATAAAAGAGAAAGATTATATTTTATGGAAATGATATTTCCTTTTAAACATTTAAAAGATTTTCTAAACTAAAGTCTGTAAACAAAATCATTTCAGTTACAGCTGAAAAATTACCTACATATCCCCCAAAGTAGTATTTAAAATCTTTAATTCTTATAAAAGCAATTTTCCTGCCAAAATTAATATTTATAACTGTTTCACAGTAAATGAGTGTCTTCTCAGAAACATAAATTTGCTGATAAATTTCATCTCTTACAACCACAGGAAATAATGACAAGATTTTGTTGAACATGTTCATAGAAATTAAAGGCAGGAAAGATTAGTTACATAACTTATTATTATTATTTTTATCTGTTTTCCAATGGCAAAGAAAAGGTTTAAAGATGAAAGTCAGCTTTGGGTCAAGAATTAATATAACTGGGCAGGAGAGATGGTTCAGCATTTGAGAACATTTGCTGTTTGTTCTTCCAGAAGACCCAGGCTAGGTTCCCAGCACCAACACAGCTGCTTACAATTGATGGTTCGATACTGCCTTCTGGCCTCCATAGATAGTAGGCACTGCACACGGCACACATACATATATGCAGGCAAACACTCACACATATAAAATAAAAAGAAATTCTTTTAAAAAAGGAATTTAAATAAGCTGGCCGCTATTTTTTTTTATGTGGGAAACATACTAGACCAAATATAAAGACCTAATCAAATTCATCATATGTCATTTTATTTTCTACAAATTGGTAATTCCAAATCATCAACAGCAGACAAGTCTAGGTAGGCATATTGCCTTCAAGGCATACTCTCTGGCTATTCTAGTTTTTTGTTTAGTGAAGTGCAG